AAAGGGGTGGGGGGTCGACTGACCTGCAAATTAGAAACGGCATGTCTTAGATAGCGGGGGACCACCCCCTACCCCCACATCTGGAGTAGATTTCCAGTGAATAACACCGGTGATCAGTGTGAGGATCCGACTGGACCCCCTCAGCACCACAGATTACCCCTTGAAAGAACCCCTCCCCGGGGTGAGAACATCCACCCACCCCTAACCCATTGGGCCATTATGAATGACCGGTACTTTTCTATACCTCAGAGACCCCTACGTTACCCGTCACCACCCCTTCATTTCCATTAAAATTGACCCTTCCATTTAGGCACCCCTACCCCCACCCTCCCTACCCTTACACGCCTTTTTGCCGTTGAGCTGCCCTCCTCTTCCACGCCTTCCCCCGCCACTTGCTCCCTGCCCCACAGCACCAGCACCAGCTCCCACGGACAAAATCCCGTCCTCCTCCCTTCCTCCCCCTCCGCTCAGACTCCTGTGAAGGCTCCGAGCACTCCTAGCCCCTCTCTGCTTGCAACCAGTTCTCCCACTTCACTCCTCCAACCTCATAACGATGATCGGAAGGAGCGCGATCCAGGTGAAAAGGCATGCGCATGCCAAGGCGCCCCTGCTGACTTCTATGCAGATCAACTCTGAGAACGAAGATGTCGCCATGCGCGCGAATCAGAAGACTCTTGCCACGGGCAAGAACACAACCCAGACCAGGAGGTTTGGAACCACCTTGAGCGTCAACACCAACGTGATCCAGTCGAAGACTCAAGCGAGCAAGCCGACACTTGCTTCTAACCTCCCCTCCTCCACCACGTCTTCTGCTCCTCTGCGCACTGCATCTGCTCCTGGAGCAGCAGTGGAGATGCCAATCGACAATGTCACAGCTGCCGACACGGTCGGAGCCCTCGATATCGATTCCGGGGACAGGTGAGAGAGGGAGAAGAGGTCGAGCGAGCTCCTTCTGACGAGCATGGTAGATACAACGAGATGGCTGTGACCGAGTACGTGGATGAGATCTACTCCAACCTGCGCATGAAGGAGACGGAGCTCGCGCCACCGGTGAACTACATGACGCAACAGGACGACATCAACGAGAAGATGCGCGCGATTCTGATCGACTGGCTGGTGGAGGTTCACCTCAAGTTCAAGCTCAGGCACGAGACTCTCTTCCTCACCGTCAACATCCTCGATCGCTTCCTGGCCGTGCAGAAGGTCAACCGCCAGCGGCTCCAACTCGTCGGAGTGGTCTCGCTCATGATCGCAGCCAAGTACGAGGAGATCTACCCCCCCGAGGTGCGCGACTACGTCTACATCTGCGACAACGCCTACTCCCGCGAGCAGATCATCCAGATGGAGCAAACGATCCTCGCGAAGCTCAACTTCCGCCTCACGGTCCCCACCCCGAGGAGCTTCCTCAAGAGGTTCTGCAAGGCTGCCCAAGGCGACTCCAGGCTCCTCCTCCTCATCTCCTACCTGTTGGAGCTCTCGCTCGTCGACTACAGCTTCCTCAAGTACAAGCCCTCCCTCCTCTGCGCGGCTGCCACCTCCCTCTCCCTCCAGCTCACCAACAGACCTGCCTGGAGCCCAACGCTGGCGAAGCACACGAGGTATGTGGAGGCAGACCTGCTGAAGGCAACGGAGGATCTCAAGGCCCTCCATGCCGCCGCATCGTCGGGTCAGCACAAGGCCGTGCACAAGAAGTACTCGTCCAGCAGGTTTCACTCGGTCGCGAGCATCGGGTCCTCGTGAGAGTATAGATTCTCCTCCTCTCCACTAACAGCTCGTGTATTTGTATCGTTGACTAATGAATGAGAAATATTCTCGGAAGCTCCTCCCCCTCCCCCTCCCCCTCCTTCACTCTCCTCTTCCCCTCTTCTCGTCCTCTTCCATCAACTTCATCTGTTGCTTCAAGATTTTCCGACATGTGGGGTCGACGGAGAGTTCAGCTGGAGTTCTTCCCAGCTTATCTCTTCCCAGCAGGAGCTTCTGCAGCTCTTCTTTCTCAACCAGCTCGCACACGATGGCAACGCACTCGCTCCTGCCATGCTGGGCTGCGCAGTGGAGGGGATTGAAGCCTTCGAATGCGACAACGTCAAGAGAGGCCCCGGCCTGCTAGAGGCTGTCAGATGATGAGCTAGAGGAGAAAGAAGACGGGAAAAGATGGGAAAGGCAGGAGGAGGCGAAGGAGGAGGAGGAGGAGGAGGAGGAGGAGGAGGAGGAGGAGGAGGAGGAGGAGGAGGCGGAGGAGGCGGAGGAGGAGGAGGAGGCGGAGGAGGAGGAGGAGATGATGGTGATGAGGTGGTGGTGGTGGTTGTGGTGGAGGAGGAGCCGGGGCGGGGAGGAGGAGCAGGACGAGTTGATGATCATGACACTCTTGCATTCCTGTATGAGCTCCTTCAATACGGAGACGTTTCCTGACCTGCTGTCGAATGAGGAACGAGCTTGTGGACGGGAGTTGAGAGGCAGGAATTGAGGGATAGAGCAGAGCAGAGCCAGGGGGGAGAAGGTTGTAGAAGAATGAGGAAAGAGTGAAGAGAGAAGGGAAGGGGATTCTCTAATAGAAATAAGAAAGGGACAGGGGAGGGGAGGTCAGGGAGAGGGAGAGGGAGAGGGAGAGGGAGAGGGAGAGGGAGAGGGAGAGGGAGAGGGAGAGGGGGGGGACAGGGAGCGGCAGGGAGGGAGACCGGCAAGCCTGAAGGATCTCAGCGTTCTCTTGTCTCCTCAAGATCTTGAGCTTCGTCTACAGGAGGATCAGACGAGATCAGCACAGGAGGAGAGCAACCAAGTGATCCTCCGCCTGCTCCTGCACCTCCTTGCAGCTCAGCTCCAGCTCGTCCCTCCTCTTCTTCCTCTCATCCTGCCCATAGCGTCAGGCCCCACCCCCGACACGCTCCTGCTGTCCTTCCTGCTTCCTCCTCCGCGTCTGCAGCTCCTCTGTGAGCTCGGCGACTTCTTCTGACATCCTCTGGATCTTGAGCTCGAGCTCCCGCAAGCTTCTCTCGTCCTCCTCCTTCACTTCCTCTCCTCTGATCTTCTGCTTTGTCAACCGGCGATCCATCGCTCCCAGCTTCTCCGTCTCAGTCACCACGACCTCCTTCAGCGAGTCTCTCTGCTCCTTGAGCCCGGCTATCTGCCGTCCTCCTCACTCACGAGACTCCAGCCTTTCGCTCACCTTCTTCTCCTCTTCTTCCTCCTCCCCTTGCAGCACGTGACACCTTTTTCTATCCTCATCCAGCCTCCGGATCTCCTGCGGTCTTAGTGAGCAGAAGAGGGGAGTCACAAGCTCGTCTACGTCTTCAATCAGAGCCTTGAGCCCAGCAAGTTGCTGTCGCTCGATGCTGCTGTGGAAGTACGATCCTGTCCTCAGCAGCACCCGCGCCATCTCGCTCGCAACCTCCTGCATCTCCTGCTCTTGTGCCGACATGAGCTGAGAAGAAATTCCGACAAGCTCACCTGTTCTCCCCTCTCCGCTGTCTCCTCCTCTTGTGTCTCCTCCTCTTGTGTCTCCTCCTCCTCCTCCTCCTCCTCCTCCTCCTCCTCCTCCTCCTATCCCTGTTTTACCATCTCTTCTTCTTCCGCCTCCTGTTCCAGCTCTAGCTCCTCTTGCTATCCCCGCTCTAACACCTTTTGCACCTGCTCCTCCAGCAGCCAACATGTACAAGGGGGAGAAAAACACATCTCTGCATGCTACCAGCTGGTTGTTCTGCGAGCAGACTTCTAGGGATCAGAGGAGAAGGAGGAGGAAGAGGAGGAGGGCGAGAGGGAGAGAGGTAGAGGAGGAAGAGGAGGAAGAGAGTAGGAGGGTCACCAGGTCTTGCCATAGGGTGAAGGGAAATATCCCTTGCGTCCTCCTGGGCTCTCCTTCGCGCTGCCTCCGCTGCTCTCTCTTGCGCTTTGCTGGTGAAAGGAGCCGCGAAGTTCTTGAGAGGAGGATATCGAAGCTCGGGAGCACTGACAGGCCAGACCCTGGAGGACGAGGCTTCGGGATCAGCCTTCCTACTCATATCCTCTAGTCCCCTCCTCATCTTCTTCAGTTCGTCGAGCATCTTCACACGCAAGGCCTCCATGTCGTCCCTGCGATGCCTATCAGCCCCTCGCTCCTTCAGCTCACGACCTACCGCTGAGCGACCAGCTCCTCCACTTGCTCCGAAGCGATCTTGAGCGCTCTTACGGAGCCTGAGGCGTTGGAGACCTTTCGATGCACCGTCGGCTCCTCCTTGCTGTCTGCCTCCATGCTCGCCCTCTCTAAATTCTTCATCGAGTGGCTCGCCTTGTCTATCTCGCCCTGTATCCTTCTGATCCTCTCTGCAAGAGCCGCCTCTTCCCTCTCCTTCCTCCGCATGGTCCTGCGATCACCTCAGAGTCTTCGCTCTCACGCCCTGCGCCACCTCAAGAGTTCGGCTGATGGTCCGATGCCCTTCAAGCTTGACGTCTCGTAGCAGCTTCGCAGTACCTCAAGAACAAGGCAAGTTAGTCACGTCGCCCTTGCCTTCCTCCCGTCAACCAATCAATCGGTCACTTGCAATCAAGATGAGCTTTTCTTGTACTCCTCGTGATCATGATCCTCCTTGTCCACCTCGTCCTCGTCCTCGTCCTCGTCCTCTTCCTCCTCCTCCTCCTCCTCCTCCTCCTCCTCCTCCTCCTTCACCTGGGTTGCCGCATCCATCGCCATCATTGTTTCCATTGAGGGAATGCCCCTACCCCCCCTAATTCAACCCACCCCCCTCTCCCCCTCCAAAGTACCCCCGGACCCGAGGTCGATCACCCGATTGAGTACCACCCCACCTTACTAGTGCAACTTTTCAAATTGGGTTTCCCTACCCCTGTTAGTATGAAGAGTACCCTAACCCACAAAATCATTTCTTATCCCCTCCTTTGAACTGATTTCAATGGTAATAATGAGGGTACTTTGTACCCCTGGTCAAATTGGCATCCCCTGTATGAAGAACCCCCACCCAGCTGTTTCAGCTCTGAGTTTGACTAACAGCCATGCACCCTCCTCCTCTGCTGCTTCCTATGACCCCACGACATGCCCACAACGATGTCCTACTCCTCCTCCTCGTCCTCGTCCTCGTCTTCCTCCTCCTCCTCCTCCTTCTCGTCCTCGTCCTCCTCCTCCTCCTCCTCCTCCTCCTCCAGATGCTGCTGCTGCTGCTGGTGCTGCTGCTTCTCATACTGCTCCCGCTGCTCCTTTGTCGGCTCATCGCCCCTTCTTCTCAATCTTGCCCCATTGCCACCTTTCCGCTGCCTTGCATGCAGCTGGAAGAAAATTTCTACCTCTTCTTTCGCGGTTGTCAATTCTCCCCCATCCTCGCTTCATCTGTGTTCTTTCATTTTGTAGCTCATCGCTTGCCGCGTTCTCTTCTCCTCACAGTGATTTCAGGTAGTTTCATGCATCCGCTACTCCAGGCAACGTGAAACACCTACCGGCAATCATTGTTGTCTCTCTTGCTGCAGCAGATCGTTCAGCAACAGACTCTCTTTCGCTGTACCATGGAGAGGAGGGTCGGCGATACCAAAGGTATTGTAGAGCGCTCAGCTGCACGAGGCTGAGCCTCCACAGACTGGGAGTCTCCTCTCCGACCCAGACGGATTCCGGCGTCCAGCTTCTCACTGGAGAGTGAGATACCAGCAGATGTCGAGATCCTAATGAAGGAGATGCAGGTGAGAAGAGGAAAATGAGGCGAGACGAGACGAGCGAGAAGAGGAGAGGAGAGGAGAGGAGAGGAGAGGAGAGGAGAGGAGAGGAGAGGAGAGGGGAGGAGAGGGGAGGAGAGGGGAGGAGAGAAAACAAGATTGATGGCGTAAGAAGGGAAGAGCAGCAGAGTTACTCTCGCTGATACACCGTCGTGCAGACGTATCAGTCGGGAATGCACGCGATCCTCTTGCGGTTGGGATATGACCAGGGAATGCAAGGTGCTAAAGAGGGAGGGAGGGAGGTGGAGGGAGGAAGAGAGCGAGGGAGGGAGGGGAGGGAACCGCAGCATAGTTCTGCTAAAACAACGAGTTTGCAGGTCTCACCAGCGACGAGGGGATGGAGTGCCTTTTGGACGCTATCCTTGTGCTGCAGGAGTCAGAGACGTACTCGCCCTCTCCTTGTGGTCTGTGCATGAGAGTCTGGCAGTCACTTGCTCAAACGTCATGAGGCGATGAAGAATGAGAACGATCAGCTGGTACGTTTACCCTTCCTCCCCTTCCCCTTCCCCTTCCTCGATGTCCTCCTTCTTGTCCTTGTCTCGCCGCATCCAAACTTCTCTGACTCAAGTTTTCATCCTTTCCCTCTCCCTGCTCGCCGTCCTCTTCCCCTTACTTGCTCCCCCAGGTCGCTGTGGTCCGAGCCCTCAAGAGCAGGATCGTTGAGATAGAGAGAAGCATCTCCTCGGACATGACTCCCTCAGGTACTGTGAGCACCCGACAAGGCAGACAGGAGGGAGGAAGGAGAGAAGGAGGAGGAAGAGGCGGAGGAGGAGGAGGAGGAGGAGGCGATACTGACTTTGTACATGCAGGGAAGGGCAGAGCGGAGATAGAGCCGCTAGCGACAGAGAGGCAGCAGAGCAGGGGCCTGACGGCACTGGCGACTCCGCGAGGAACCTCAACGAGAGGAGATCGAATCAACACGCCACGTGGGGACGCGCGAGCATCGCAGGCGCTCGCAGAGCTCAGAGGACCCGCTCGTGTAGCGAGCACGTCCTGCCAGACCGAAGGAGGAGGAGCGGATGAGCATGACAAGCTCAAGGCTGTTCATGAGGTGGCGACAGCGGGGAAGGGGAGTTGGGGGATCAGAGGATTGAAGGTTTGAGACAGGAGCTAAGGAGCAAGAACGAGCAAGTGATGAGATACTCGCAATCCCTCGTGGACGAGATCAAAGAGCTCAAGGCTGCACAGGTGCAGATAAGGGGGAGGGGGAGGGGGAGGGGAGGAGGAGGGCACTAAGAGGCTAGCAGGAGGCATGGATGCGGGAGAAAAGCGCTCTGTTGGAGGCTGTCAGGCAACAGGAAGGGAAAGTGAAAACTCCGGGCTCGAGTGGAGGGAAACTCATTGCAAGGAGGTGACGCTTGCAGTCTTCTCGTGCCCTCCCTCACGTACCCTCAGGGTCTACGACGCCGTCCCAGAGCCTCCTGCTGTGGTCCGTTCTATCTCTCACTCCTTCTATCTAGCTGATCCCTCCCCGCTCCCTCTCCATCGCCTCCCCCACCTTGACTGCAGGAGGAGGTCTTGATGGAGCGATCGACCCTCCTCAGAGCCTCCTCGGAGAGCAGAAGCTCGAAGATCCTCGAGGCGAGGTCGCAGCTGGCTGGGAAACTCTCCTCCTCTCCCATCGCCCGCAGTCAACCGCCAGGTAACCATCCTGCCTGCCTCCTGCTGTTGACGTGAACTACCAGGACCCGGAGGAACTGGTGGAATAGGAAGAGGTCTTGGAGCAGGAATGACCGGAAATGGAGCTACTGGAGCAGGAGCAGGAGCTACTGGAGCTGGAGCTGGAGCAGGAGCAGGAGCAGGAGCAGGAGCAGGAGCAGGAGCAGGAGCAGGAGCAGGAGCAGGAGCAGGAGCAGGGCCGTTGCTGAACGGGAAGGAGCGTACGGTCGTGGCAGATCCATCGAGGGAGAGGGAAGGAAACAACTCGAAACAGCAGGAAGCAAACTTTCACGCAAGGTGACAGGGAGGACCAGGAGCCAAGGGAAGGGAGGGGCGGGGGAGGGGTTATGGAGGACTGGAGGTGGAGGAGGATGATGTTGCTTGCCGCAGGTTCTTGTGGGCTGGGACTGGAAATCCTCATGTGAAGGAGAATGCCCAGCAGATCCCAGGGACAGGGAGGTAGGGGAGGAAGGGGAAGGGGGAGGGTGAGTTGGTAGGAGAGGAGGAGGAGGTGGTGGTGGTAGGAGAGGAGGTGGGAGGAGGAGGAGGAGCTAGGAGGGGAGCTAGGAGAGGAGGAGGAGGACCGGGGAGGGGATGGACTTTGCCTTCAATGATCTCAAATGCTCAGAGGGAGCGATCCTTTCAAGGTCTCAGAGAACAAGCCCAGCTCGTCCCCCAGCAGCTTCTTCCTTGACTTCCGCAAGTGAGTCAACGGCTGGTCGAGCTGCCGGCCTGCTGACTCTGAGAAGCAGCAGGAGCGAGGAAGGAAGCGCTCTAAAGGCTGCGGGTCAGTCAAGGTGACCCTCCCTCGTACTCAGCTCATCGCCCCACCCCCCCATCCCCCTTCCTCCTTCCTCCTTCCCCGCCCGCCCGCCCCCCACTCCAATCCTTGCATCTCTGCTCCTGCGCTCCTTCTGTCTCTTCTTCTCTCCTCCTTGACGCTGCTTTCGTAGCTTCGCCATCGGAGCTCAAGTGGAGGATGGAGTTCGAGTTTACCGTTGGTGAAGGAGGAGAGGTGTTGAGGCCAGCAAGCCGTGTACAAGCGGAGCAAGCTTCTGACTTCACTGGCATCAATTAGGAGGGAAAAGGAGGAAAGGGGGGGGGGGGGGGTCAACAGAGCAGGGAGAGGCGAGGAGGGAGAAGTCTCAGAGGGGAGCATCTCCTCCTCTCATTTCCCTTCCTCCCCGAAGAAAATGTCAAAGACGGAGCCAACCTGGTAGAACAATCATCCCCTTCCCCCCTCAAGATCTCCCGCAGCCTCTCTCGCCTCACTCAGCTCTCACCTCCTCCATCACGTCGCTCGCCGTCATCGCTCTCTTCTTCTTCTCGAAGGCCTTCAAGGCGCTGAGCTTCGCCACCTGCCGCTCCATGAGCGCAACGAGAGGAGGAGGAAGAGAGGAAGAAGATGAGGAGGAGGAGGAGTTGCTGTGGGTGTGTTGTACCTTACAAGCAGCGAGACAACAAGACATTCTCAGCAGCTGCAGCTCTTCTCGCCTCCCCGTCTTCGTCTCCTCCATCCTCTTGGCTGCCATGAACCCCCACACCGCGAACGTCAGCATGAGCCCAGCCAGCACATCGCCTTGGCCCCCAGCTCGCCTCAGACTGCCCTTGTCGTCGCACAGCCACGTGGAGGAGTCGGAGCAGATCACGTCGCTGCTGCCCTTCACCACCAACACCACGTTCTCTCCGATCCTCCCGGCAACCGAGCACGCGAGCTCCGCTGCCTTCCCCAGCTTGTCCTCCTCCTCCTCCCCGACCTTGAGCGCCCGGCACAGTCTCTCGAACTCTACCTTGTTGGGCGTCAGTGTCACATGCGCTGTCCTCATCGCTCCCAGCAGCTGCTTCTGCAGGCTGCTTCCCCTCTCTCCCTCCCGGATCGCCTGCGTCAGGATGTACAGGCCATCGGCGTCCAAGATCATGGGCTTCCCCAGCTCAGCAACGAGCAGGAGCAGCCTGCTGCAGGTCTGCAGGACGAGCTCGTCGCGTCCTAGCCCAGGGCCCAGTAGGATGCCGTCAAGTCGCGCGACCCACTCGCTCAGCTGCTGGTACGCTGCTGCTCCTCGCTCCTCCTGCGCACGCGCATGAGATGCGGAAAGAGAGCCGCTGCTCCCTCACCCTGCCCGTCATGCTCACAGTCGGGTCGTCGGAGACGAGGAGAAGCGGATGGACGATGAGCTCGGGGGAGTAGCTCTTGATGGGACCCCCAGCTCGAGTCTCGCAGAAGATGTGGACGATGTCCGAGCCTGCACGTAGAGCCGTGTACTGAAGTTGAGAGCGTCAGAGGCAGGGGGGCGACAGCAGCTCTCACCGCAGCGAAGTAGGGAGCACCCGTGTACTCGAAGCTTCCTCCGATCACTCCGACTCTTCCAGCCTCTCCCTTGCTCGTCTTCTCGCCGAGAGGTGGGACGCAGGCGCGGGCGAGGCTGAGGATGCTGTCTTGGCTGGGAGTCTGCGCTCCTTGCAGGGCAGCAAGACATGAGCTCAGGTCCTGCGACTGCATCTGCAGCTGCTTCGTCGCCGATGAGGAGTAGAGGGCCGAGCGGTTCCTTCTCCTCTGAAACAGCAGATCAACCCGCGCTCGCAGGAAGGAGAAGGGGAGGGGGCAAGAGGAGGAGGGAGCGACAGGGTGGGAGGGGAGGAAGGAGGGGAGGGGAGGGGAGGGAGGGTCTGGGGGACATGCAGAGGGAGGAGGAGGAGGGAGGAGGAGGCGCATCGCGTCAACCACATGACCGTCGCCATGCCATGCCGCCTAGCTCGCACCATTGCGCGAAAAAAAAGGAAAAAAGAAGAAAAAAGAACTGTAACTGTTCGTAACGACGGTTTGAATCAGGACCCCAACCCCTTGCTTTGTGGTCCACGCACTGGGTAAAATAGTTTTGAATTAATACTTATAAATTCGCTTATTGATTTGAACTTTTAACTAAGGATTCATTATTTTCGAATATTACACGCCTGTCTGAACGCCATGGCTTCAGCTGCTAGAGATGTGAGCGCTCCCTCCTCCTCCTCCCTCTCCCTCTCCCTCTCCCTCTCCCCATCATAATCACAATCGTCAACTTTATCATCTCCATCATCATCTCCATCATCATCAACTACAATAACTCCATCATCATTTTCATCTACCTCCCCTCCCTGCTTCCCTGTCTCCTCTTCGTACCCTCCTGGGTGCAATGCATGGAAAATGTTCAGTTCATCTCGTCATACTGATTGAGAGCCGTCCTGCTTTGATCGTAGTCAGCTTAACTAAATCAGATGCAGGAGACGGCAGACGCTCTGTCCGACCCAGCGGCAGACCGAGCGGCGAAACTTGCTGCTTGGAAGGAGCAGAAGAAACAAAAAGAGAACAAACCGAGTCGGTGCGTCGGCCTTGGATAGCCTTGCAGTTGAATCTGACAAGTTTTTGAATCAGTCAAAGTCAAGACTCAGTGAGCTCAGCAACCAAGCCGCGAACCAACGTCGACAGGTCGATCGAGAGTTGTAGGTTTCCAGAGCTGATAGCTTTTGCAAGCAGAAGCTTGAAAGATGTCCCACGCACTCCTGGTACTTTTGACATGTTCACTGTTTCGACATGTTGAGTCCCATGACCCTGCAGCTCCTCAAACCATGGACAAGCCAAGTCAAAGCTCGACCAAGACCAAAATCGAAAGCTGCTCGCCAGGCAGCGACGTCTCATTGCCTTGCATGAGAGTCTGAAAGCGTTTCACAGCCATGAATCATCACGATCAGCCTTGTCAGACTCCCGTCTCATCAGCTCTCAGAGGCGGGCGTCAGTCCACCACCCAGAAGCAAGCGCAACTTCCTCCTAAGAGGTGCATGCGAGCTGTGAGTCCTGCTGGGTTGACGCGTTGCCGATCGCAGCCATCAGAAGTCGAATCTTGTTGCGCCGGACCCGTCGACAGACATGTCTTGTGTCAAGTGAGCCTGCGCTCTCTTCATGCTCACCTAACATCCTCACCAGAGAGAAGCAACGGGCCAGCAGCGCTCGCCCACCGTCAGCCGCCGCCTCCGGTGCTCCTGCATGTCTGCTGCGCGATGTGATTCCCTTGCAGTATCCTCCGCTCCTTTCTACGACAAGACAAACGTAGAAGCTCACTTCGACCAGCTCGCCGATCGTTGGCTTCAGGTCCTCAGCAGAGGGATGGCTGGAGGGAGTGACGACCTGGTAGTGGCGCTACGCGAGGTCGAAGGCGCAGGCAGCTCATGCCGTCCGAGAGAAGAAAGCAGCAGAAATGCTGCAGCGGCTGTGGCGAGAGGTAGGTGAGGGGGTGAGTCTGAACAGACTCAAGCGTGGGCTGCAGGAGGAAACCTTAAAGGAGAAAGTGATGGAAGAGACGCGCGAGTACCACGAGGCCTGTCAGGTGAACCCGTTGCCTATGAGCACTCCTCGCTGATAGGAGACTAGCTCGTCAACTACCGGCGGATGCTCAAGGAGCAGAGGCGCTCGCTCGAAGCCATCGTGCGCCAGAGGGTCTGACTTGAGTCCTCCTCGTCCTCCTGTCACGTTGGGACCTTCAGGAATCAGAGCAGAGCGACAGCCTCTCTTTGTGGAGAAACTTCCAAGTCACGACCTTCTACCCCCTCCCTCTTCTCACCCAGTGCAGGTCAATTATGCTAAAGTTTCCGACGCGGCTGCGGCAGCCTCCAAGTTGCTTCCCGTGCAGCACGAGAGCATGCCCGACGAGACTGCCGTCCTCGCATGCCTGGTACGCCAGGGGCACAGGCACGTGTAGGCCTGACGAGGCCCAGGACGCCTGCAGCGCGTGGATGGATAAGCTGATGGCGAGCGAGGCGCCGGCCATGGATGGTGTGAGCAGGCTGAAGGTGAGAAGCTCTCCTCCTTGCCAACCCCGACGATACCCGCAGACTTCTCTTGCTGATGGACTCGACACGGACGCGGCAGCTCGGAAAGAGCTGCAAGAGTGCAGGGAGCTGCTGCAGCAGCTGGAGGTACAGGCAGCGTGTTGCACGCGCTCGTTGACTGCTGGTTGAAAGGTGATGGAGGGCATGGAGAGAAGCTTGATCGTGGGGGGTTTGCAGTCTTTTCGAAGAATATGAGAGGAAATCATACAATCAAGAAAGACTACTCCTCTATGTACTTGTACCCGATCTCTTTCACCCGGAAGGCAGTCGTCAGCAGCACAGCATTGGCTGGCACGGATCGCAGAAGGCAGGCAGACAGGCCCCGCGTGAAGCGCACAGCTCCTCCCTCCTTCCACAGCTTGCTGAAAGTATCAGCCATACCCCTGTACTTCTTGTTCTCGAGCGAATCTCCCTGCATCGCTGACTTGACCACATCGACCGGATAGGTGAGCGACCAGTACAGAAAGCCTCCCACCGACCCAGCAATCATGTTCACCGTCAGCCCAACCTCAGTCACAGGCACTCCCTTCCTCTTCGCGTACTCTCGTCTGATGTACTCGAAGCTCCCGAAGTGAAAGAAACCTCCTGCCACGTTGCGGCAAAGATGCGGAACCATCCCCGTGTACAGCGCGCTGACCCCGTACTTGGAGGGAGCGCGAGCGATGTAGTTGACCACTCCCGTGAACTCAGGCTTGTACGCCGCGTTGCTCTTCGCCTTGACGATCTGAACCTGCATCTGAGATGAGGCTAGCTGCAAGGGACACTCGATCAACGCCCCCACCGCCCACGCGAACGATCCTCCGACTCCGAACATGAAGTAGGAGGGAGTCTTCTTGCCGTTGTCCGAGGCCCATCGGTTGAAGAAGCCGTTGGACCAGAAGAGCGCGCTACGGAAGAAGAGCTGCCCCAGCAGGGGCGCTGCCACCCCCTTGTACAGCCCCGTCGGGCCCTCCCACGCGAGAGTCTTCCTCACGCAGTCGATGAAGCCCGTGTAGATGTGATGCGGGGGAGAGGGCTGCGTCTGCAAGCGAACTTTGATCGTCTCGAACGGATGCCCCACCAACGTCACGTTCACTCCAGCTGCAAACCCGCTGGCAATGTCAACTGTCGTCTGATTCAGAACCCTCATCTCCCGTCACTCTCCGTCGATCCAACTTCTGCGCATCAAGCAAGTCGTCAGAGACATCGACCTCCTTCCTCCCAACATTCCTTTGAAAATCTTCAGCCTCGTTACGACCTAGCAGCCTCTTACACTTGCAGCCTAGTACAGACTCTGAGCTAACGATTTTCCGCGATCGGCCTCATCTCTAAGAACAGATACGTCAACATCTCCTATTCTCAGCAATTTTGACATGCCCTTCATCCCTCGACTTCTTCAATCTTATTCTCTTTGGCTTCTCTCAACTCATTTTGTCGTATCTTGCGCTTCATTGAATCTTTTCCATCTATCGTTCGTTCCCTGATTATCTTTCCTCATTCTGTTCTTTCCCTAGCCGGCCACTCAAGCACGTCTGTTGTTCTCCCACCTTCTCCCATCTTCTCCCTCTCCCTCTCCCTCTCTCTCCTCTTGCTCTCCTCGCCTCTCCTCTGCTCGTCTCCCCCACCCTCTTCCCGCAGCTCCCGTGACTCCCTTGACATGGATCCCATCATCATACGCCTCTAATACCCTACCCCACCCTTCTATGTCATTTCGCCTACCCCACCCTCTCTTTTCGATCACCTCCTTATTTACATGGTACTCAAGAGATAACCCCCACCCACATATTTTTATACCCTACCGCCTCTTGGAGACTCCAAAAGATAAAGCTAGATGGGGACAAGGCGGGGGTGGGGTACGGGAACGTGAATGGGGAGCAGGAAGTTGGAGCTAAACGGCCCCGTGGGGGGTGGGCTGAAGTAGGGGTGGTTTTCACTGTGATTCAGTGGATCAGATGTGGGTAGTGGGTGCGAGAGGCGTCAGAGGTACCGGTAAAGACCTGAGACGGTGGGGTGGTCACTAGTCTCTACAGTGCTGCCCAATGGTCCTTTTTAGTTTTAAAAATGGAATACATCACCCCTACAAAAAGCCTACCCCACCCACAAATTATCAGATATCATGTTATTATTGTTAGGGTCCATCTTCACCCCCACCCCGTTCGAGGAAAAGAACATAAAATATTTTTAATTAGGGCTTTCAAAAGTTCCTGTAAACGTCTGAATTTTGACCTCAAAGTCTCAAAGTCTCAAAGTTTTAAAGTTTGAAACTCTCAAAGTTTAGAGTTCTCAACCCCTCAAAGTCTCAAAGTTTCGGTTCGACGGCACGTGCGATGCAGGTCGACGAGGTGATCTGGCAGACCATCAACCAGCAGTTCTGCTCCTTCAAGGCGAGGTGAGCCAGCGAGAGCATGAGCGAGCATGGCTGTGAGAGAGGGCGACATGGCGAGGGCAAGGAGGGGAGCGGGGAGCAGGGGAGGATCCTCAAGTTTTCTCTCGCTCGCTCTCATGTCGCCTCACTGATCGTCGTTCAGGTTGACCGACAAAGAACAGAACTTCTGTAGGAACGAGCACAACGTGACCGGCTTGTGCAACAGGCAGTCTTGTCCTCTTGCCAACAGTCAGGTGTGCGACGACAAGTTGCCTATCGTCCCTGAAAGTCTTGCAGTATGCCACCATCCACGAGGAGGACGGCGAGTGCATCCTCTACATCAAGACCATCGAGCGCGCTCACTCCCCTGCAAACTTGTGCGACTACCTTGAGGTTGGGTGTCGAGCTGAAGCGAGACAGGTGGGAGAAGATCAGGCTGTCGAAGAACTATGCCAAGGCGCTGCAGCAGATCGACGAGCACCTCAAGTGACGGGATGAGGGTCTGCCTGCTGGCCCTGACTCCTTGACAGGTACTGGCCCAACTTCCTGGTGCACAAGTGCAAACAGCGTCTCACAAAGATCACCCAATACCTCATCCGCATGCGAAAGTTGTCGCTACAGGTCTGTCATGACGCCCTCCTCCTTCCCCTCCTTTCCTTCCCTAGTTCCTCTGTGTGAACTTCTTGGCCCTCACTCTACACTCAAACAGGTGAGGCCAAAGCTGGTTGGTGTTCACAAGAAAGTTGAGAAGAGAGAGAGAAACCGAGAAGCCAAGGTCGACTTGCTGCAGTGACATCATGCTCGTTGAAGCCTGTGTCAGGCTCTGCGTGCAGCGAACATCGAAGGAGCGATCGAGAAGGAGCTGCTGGAGCGATTGCGATCAGGTGAAACAGGAGTGATGTGCGAGGTGAAGTAAGAGAGACGAAGGCACGTACGGCGATATCTACAACTTCCCCATGAAGGAATATTCCAACGCTCTCGATGAGGTGCCAGGAGGTAGAAGTAATCACGTCTGCTGATGGAGGGAGCAGGAGGAGGCGCTGGTCGAAGACGAGGAGGAATACAACGAAGATGAGGAGGAGGGAGAAGGAGAAGAGGAAGACGAGGAGGAGGATTACGAGGTAACGCAACAAGTGCATTGTGGATTCACCTTGAAATTTTGTCTCAGGACTGGGATGAAGATGAAGAGGAGGAGGAGGAATTTGGATTCGGATCGAAGCAAGTAAGCAGTGGAAGAAGGAATGGTTGATGAAGCAGCTTGTCTCATTCTTTGTCAGTTTGTCGAAGATTACTCGGATGATGAGGATATGGACGACATTGAAGACGCGGGCTCCAAGAATAAGGTCTGGTGACCCTCCTGCTCCTCGACACGTGACGTTCATCTTGTCAGACTCGGAGAAACGCACGAGTGGATGAGGAGTCAGAGGAGTCAGAGGAGGAGGAAGAAGCACCAAGAAAGCGAGCTAAGTAATTTCTCCCACTTCCTGTTTACTGCTTGATCTGCATCCTCCATGTTGGCTGCCATCGCACCATATGTTTGCTCTACCTTGTAGCTTTGTTCCTTTGACTCTCTTCCTCTTCCTTGCTCGTTCTATCAGCATTCTTCGATCTCTCCTATTCTTCCTCTGCTTCCTTTATACTTCTCCCGCCCCTCACATGTTCTCTAGGCCAAGCTCTAAGGCCAAGCCTGCTCCTCCTACCAAGAAGCCAAGCTCCAAGCGAAGGAAAGGAGGCGCGAGGCTGGAGATCGAGTATGAGCAGGTAAAGAAGGACGTGGATGCTGCCGGATGAGACTGAACTTGAGTGCAGGAGCAGGAGAAACTTTCGTCTCGAGCTGCTGATTGGTGAATTTCTTGTAAACTATCACTCACTCACTCTCATTCTCCTTCCACTCGCACTTAGCAAAGATAACGTCCGCTCCCTCCTTACTTCGCCTCAAGGAGGCGATCGCGCGACGTTTCGATCCACCCAAACAGACTGCGAGAGCTCGTGGAAGCGAGCATGGAAAGGGCGCTTGAGGCCTTGCTCGCAGAAGTCTCGCATCCTCTCCTTGGCTTCTTGGAGGCTCTCAGCACAGAAGTAGGTTGGCTGGTACTCAGTGATCGGGTAACTCCGATGAGCAGCCACCCAGGGGTCCCATGCCTCGATGGCAGGAGCCTCCAGCTTTCCTCCAGCTGGTCTCGTGGGCGAGCATGCATACTCCAGCTCGCCAAAAGATGACAGCAGGCCCGCCCCGTACGCCTTCACCTCGCCTTCCTCCCGGCAGAGCCCGAACTCAACGGAGAACCAGTAGCAGGTGGCAAGCCGCTTCACGTCCTCCTCCGACGCCCCGAGGGAGGCAAGCCCGATGGCCTGCGAGAAGTCGGCGAAGTCCGGGTCTGCGAACATGGGGGCGTGCCCGATGATCTCGTGGCAGAGGTCAGGCTCGGGGGTGTAGAGAGGAAGCGAGTGATGGCGCATGTACTGGGTGCTGAAGAACGTGCGGAAGGCGAGGCCGTTGAGGAAGTCGCGGGAGGAAAGGAGGCCAGCGACAGGGCGGACAGTGAAGCCAGTCTTCTCCTCGAGGAAAGCCGAGACGTCTCGTTGCTGTGGTATGCGATCTCGAGTCACAACTCCTTCACTCCGCATCTCAGCGACGATGTCCAGGTACTGCCTGCACGCGAACTTGTTCGTCATCGGCTCCAAGTTGTCGTATACTGTGCGCCAAGTCGCTATTTCCTCCTCCGTGTACTCCAGCAGGGGTGGCAGGCTCCCATGCTTGTGCTGGTTGGCCAGACTTGCGATCATCTGCCTCCTCTGCCTGTAAGTCGCGTCATGGAACCCCGGATGATCGCTCTTCAGCTCCGCTCCTGCGTCGAGTGTGCGGGTGGCAATGGCATCGAGCTCGGAGACATGGAGGGGAAACCAGGGGACGAGCTTCTGGTCGAGGACGAGCACGTTAGCGCTGTTGCCCTTCACTTCTTGGAGGACGGCGGAGATCCGATCGTCCCGCATGTCACCGTAGAAGTCGATGGCGATGTCAAAGACAGACTCGCCTCGCATGCTCGGACGAGACTCGATCCTCGTCAAGTCGACGCTCTTTTCCTGGAAGGGCCGCAGGAGGCGATACAGAGCGCCCGGGGAGTTTTGGATCTCAGCTAGCAGCGATACTCGTGGTCTATCGATCGGAGATGGCGCGTAAGGGATATGATTCCTCTGTTGTACGTCAAGAGCAGAAAGCGAAGGACGAGGTGCGCCATAGGTCAATCGACGAAGAAAGCTCCTTGCCTCGACAAGAAAGGCTGATCTTCCATTCATTCGCCTTCAATCTTTCTGTTGAAACAATCCTTCTCTCTCTCTCTCTCTTCCTCCTCCTCTCTCGTTTCTTCTCTCTCTCTCTCTCTTCCTCCTCCTCTCTCGTTTCTTCTCTCTCTCCCTGTTTGCTCGCCCCCTTGTCTTGTTGCAACGAGTCTTATTGAAAGTAAGGGGGTAGGGTACTTCAACTACCTGGTATTCCACCAGTAAAGATGTGGCTATAATCAGGGGTACTTCAAATTCAAATTTTCATCTGAGGGGTTGGGTGATAAGGGTGCAAAAGAGAACAGGGGCCGACGTTGCGCTCAAGTAGGGGTCATATTCCCATCAAAAGAGTGAAAATGAATGGGTGGGGTGGTCTTATTGTTGCGATCAAGAAAATTCGGTGAAGAAGGACATTTTTTGACAAGATAAATAAATTTTGTTGAATTTTGGCAAAAGAAGAAAAATGTTCACCTTAGTCATTTCACTTCCTTCTCATCAAGATTGAAGCCAAATTCTCAAAACCCTGCAGAGAGCTGAGAACAGAAGACAAGACAAGACAAGACAAGACAAGACAAGACAAGACGAGACGAGACAAGACAGGACAGGACAAGACGAGGGGAGACAAGACAAGACAAGACAGGACAAGACAAGACAAGACAAGAGCAGACCAGAGCAGAGCAGAGCAGAGCAGAGGGGAGAAGAAAGAAAAGGGAGGAGAGGGGGAGAGGAGAGGAGAAGAGAGGAAGAGAAGAGAAGAGAAGAGAAGAGAAGAGAAGAGAAGAGAAGAGAAGAGAAAGAGAAGAGAAGAGAAAGAGAAGGCGTGGCAAGGAACCGGGATTGGGCTCACCTGCTGCACAGCAGTGAAGGCATCCTTTGCACTCTCGTGTCTGTTCTTGTCGGGATGGAGGATGAGAACGAGACGACTGAAGGAGCGTCAAGTGATGGGTAGAGACCGCAGCAGCAGCAGCAGCAGCAGCAGCAGCAGCAGCAGGCATCACCGGTAGCGTTTCCTCAGCAGGTCAGGGTCGTTCATCTTGCTCTGTCACAGTTGCTGAGTTCATCCTCCTGCACCATCACCCTCAAGACTCACCACTTTGATCCCCAGCAGCAGGCAGAGTTCGCTAGCGGTGAAGCTATGGATCTTGAGTTGCGGGTGAGGACGCGCAAAGGAGCATGCAGGTCAGGCTGACCGGAATGTCGGACTTGTCCTTGAGGACCTGCATGATCCTCTCGACCTCTTCGACTGAGCAGGCGGTAAGAAACGAGCAGGAGAGCTGCGACCTCTCACCAGGTGAAAGGTTCTTGACGTCCTCTTCATTCTGATGCCTGCTGCAATTTTAGCCGCTTTTCACCCATTCCTCCTCCTCCTCCTCCTCCTCCTCCTCCTCCTCCTCCTCCTCCTCGTGCGCACATGGCTGGCTTTGGCATCTGCTGATCCGAAGAAGGTTTGGGAAACGGTTTGAAGTCGGTCTAGCAGAGGATTAGAGGTGAAGGGGGCCAGCAGCAGCACCTCCTCGTCCTTCCAAAAGTCCTCCAGGTTGAAGTCGTCGCTCTGAATCTGCGGAGGCTGGAGGTCAAACAAAAAGACAAGGGAAGCATGATGGAGGGAGTTGGAGGCAAAGCCAGGGCAGGTACGTGAAGGCTCATGGCGAAGAGACTGACGAGGAGGGAATACGATTTTGAAGAGGATGTTGGGGAAGGAGGAGGAGGACGAGCAGCAGAAGCAGGAGAAGGAGAAGGAAGTCGAGGATGAGGCGGCGAGATGCAGCATGCCTGCTCGCGAGCCTTCTGGAAGAGTCTTGCTTGAGCCTCAGCACTCCTCTCCTCGTTGTTCATGTAGTCTTTGGGTCTTCACCACAAGTCAACCAGATCGGCAGGGAGGAGGAGGAGGAGGAAAGGACCGGAGCGAGCGAACCCGCTCGAAGAAGTCAGCCCATGACGCGTCGATGTGATGGCCAACTGAGAAGCAAAGGGTCAGGGACGAGGAGGACTTTGGCTCTCCCTCACATTCGTCAACTTTGTTGAATTTCTCCTCCTTGGCACACTTGGGACACCTGCAAGGCCTGAGATGAAACCTCCTCCTGCACGTGCGCCGACCAGTTTATCTTGGGCTCTTGAACTTGCTGGGTCTCGAGGTCGGAGAGGGACGTGAGGAACTGATGGCTCTTGCTGCTCCTCTACGTCATCGAGAGCTCTCAAACAAGAGGAGGATCACCAGCAGGTGAACCAGAGGAGGCGGGCTTCCGGCCTCGCTTGCGCCGTGTTGTCCCATTGCCTGTTGATTGTCTTTCATGTTGAAAGATTCCTCCTCCTCCTCCCCAACCCCCCCCCCCGCCCACTCTCTCCCCTCCTCCTCCTCACGTCCGATGGAAGAATCCTCCATTCAGCTTGGCGATCGCCTGGAGCAGCAGGGTGACAAAGGCAGGAGAGGCGAGGCGGCACCTTGGCTTTCTCCTTGTACTTTTCAAACTCTTTGTGGTCCGAGTCGAAGTAAATCTTCGCTCCTTCTGCGATAGGCGCGGTGCTTGACACTCTGCTCAAAGTCACTCGCAGTTGCGCTGGCTGTCATCACCGTCTCATGAAGGTCGGGCCAAGCTCGGGGCCGATGAAAGCTCCGTACTGTCAGCAGAGTAACTCGAGGAGGATCGAGAGGGTCCGGAGGACTCGCACCTGAGCGTCTCTTATAGGGTTGAAAGCTTCTGCGGGACGAGAGTCAGCCAGTCTCGCTACGTTCACCTCCTACCCATCGCTGCTCGCGCTCGCTCGCGCAGATGCACTTCTGGTCTTTCGCTCTCCTTACCCCATACAGTCAAAAATCGATGGAGGAGGAAAGTGAAGCACCTGCTTGAGGTTTCCAAGCGCTTCCTCGAACACTTTGCTGAGAGGTTCGAACTTGCACCCTTGCGCATCCCCCGCACGAGCCTTCGCTTCCATAACTTCTCGCATCCTCATCTGCCAGGCTGCTTCAGCCCGAAAGCCCCACGCCATGTCTCTCGAGCCTCGTTCCAGCTCTCTCCCTTGGCTGCTTCCTTGCTGCTCTCCTCTGAGTCATCTCTCCTGTCCGCTTCCTCAGAGCTCTCCCGCACAGTCTTCCTGGAGCTCTTTGCGCGTCCCAGAGATCCTATCCCAACCTCTCTGCACATTTCAATCATGTACATGCCGACAAGCCATGGCAGGCATCGCACGTGTCTTGCTCAGCCTCTGCTTCCGTCCCGTTGAGCAGCTCCGAGCTGTTTGCGAGAGGGCTGGAGAAGGTCTCGTTGGGATGATTCCAACGAGCCTCCCCCGTCACCTGCAGGCGTGAGCGACGAGAGGCAGCGGGCTGGCGTCACCTTGTTGAACCAGAAGTGCTGACCTCGGCTCCTCGAGAAGTGAAGCTTCCACACCCCTTAAGCCTCCGGTGTCAGGAGCCGCCAGGAGAGGAGACAAGGCGATGGACGCACCTGTCTGGTTGGTCTCGGTGATGCCCTCCCCTCGCCTGACAGGAGCAAGTCAGCGAAGCTCGAGGCGCGAGCATGGCAGCACAGCTTCTTCTGGTAGTGATTCAACTGCTCGAAGAGCTCGGTTGACGGCAGGAGCCAAGAGCTCTCCTCGTTCACCGTCGACTCACGATCCAGCGACTGGTTGCGAGCCATCTCCTCCTTGGCCTCATCGCTTGAGGTTCTCGCTTTCTTCCTGGGGTTCTCATCCTCTTGTCGAGGAGCCTTCCATCTTGTTTCTCCTGTCAGCTTCACCAGCTCTTAGCGACCCGACAACACGCGAGGCCTCACCTTGTTGAACCAGTACTTGCGTCCGAATCGTTTCGACACATGCTGCTCCCACGCGTCCACGCGCTCATTCCTTTCGCTACCTGCGTCCATGTCGTTGAGGCTCTTCATCTGCTCTGGTTTGACCTTCACCTTCCAGGCATGCCGCGTCTCCCCCGCCCCTCCTCCTGTCCAGCAATAATCCTCCACCTCCACCTTGCTCGCGCCCCCTGTCTACCTCCAACCAGACGCTTCTTTGTGACCTGTGAATCGGTGCTTCCTCTACAACTCCTCGGCGAGAGCAGCAACAGATGTCGTTTCTCCATGAGATTGACCGACCTGCCTCCCACCTTCCTCCCACTCCTCCCTCTACTGCGAGGAGAGAGAGTCCAAATGCGAGAGCTAGCTGCTCTCGTCCTCGACCACCTTTGCCGCATCTGAGAACAGCTATTCGCCCATGATGAGCGAATCCTCTTCTTCGTTCGCATCCTTCCCCTTTTCCTCGCGCTTCTTTCCCCCGTCCTCCTCCTCCTCCTCCTCCTCCTCCTCCTCCTCCTCGCCCCTGCATGTTCAGACCGGTTCCACAAGCATGGGAGAAAGCAAGGTTGTCGAGTCTGCCTCAGAGTTGAGTCCGAGGCGGGCCCAGCTGCTGGCCTAGGGAGTACCGGGGTAGGTCATTCACTCGAAATAGAGCGAGAGGGCTTTGCAGGGGTGGTCATGATATGGAAGGGGTGGGTACTTGGTAGAGGGGTGGGTACTTAGTGGGGAAGGGGGAGGGTCATGTTCGGATTCTGCCTGCTCCTTGTCATGCTAAGATGGGTAGCGGTGGGGGCGGCGACGGTGGTGGCGATGGTGGGATGGAGGCGCATGCAGGCGCAGGTGGCTAGAGGGAGACGGGACAAGGAGAAGATCGTGTTGCACGTGACGTCGTGGGAAGGAATGAGGGTGCTGTCTGCATCCAAGCTTGAACGATGGATTTCCAGGGTCAAGGAAGCGAAATCCTCTCGCTTCGCTCCCATCGAAATGGAAATTTCTGAAGAGACCTTTCGCAGCTTGTTGAAGAGGCGCAACGTCACTATCCATGGCTTCGGGAGTGGCGAGCTCGGAAGGGGTCAATTCTTTACGCATGTTCAGTTCATGATCACCAAGCCAGGGCTGAACCTTTATGACCCGAAGCAGTTCCCCTTCTTTGCGATCGCACAGAGCGATCAAGCGATAGCTCACATTTCGGTTCCCATCAGCAAAGTCCTCCGAGTGGCCCAGCATCTGCCTCCTCCCTCATGTCGCATCGTCATGATCTGGAGCCCGGGGCGATGCGGCTCGACGCTCCTCACGCAGCTGCTTCACCTTCACCCGAGCGTGGTGACCATCTCCGAGCCTGCCGCGCTCTTCAACTTGTCTCGCCTCCTCGCTCCCTCGCATGCCCGCCCGGATTGTGGCGATTATGGCAGAAAGGATACGCGGCAACTGATGGAGGCCGTAACGAAGTTGATGCTTAAGGACTTCATAGGGCAGCAAGTAGTCTGTATCAAGACCATCACGACATCAATGTGCTTGGTAAATCCTCTCTCCTCTCCTCTCCTCTCCTCTCCTCTCCTCTCCTTTACTCTTCTCTCCTCGTCCTCACCGGTTCCTTACACGCTCCTGAAGGCTGAAACCTTCCGCGATTCGTTCCCGGATTCCAAGGCAATCTTTCTCTATCGCGATGCTAAGCCCTCTGTCGCCTCCTTCTTCAAGACCTTCAGCATCAACAACGATCCCTATGTTGAGAAGCTCAAGCCACACTGGCGGCTCTACTCGCTCAAGGACCAGCTCGTCCTCCTATGGGTGAGCATGCGCAGCTCTCGCGATCACGCGCTCTGGAGGCAGTGCTGGCAGATGCGATGGCGCTGGTTCGCGCTGGTGCCGCGACGTCTCGCCTGGCTGACCTCGCTCGGCTTCTGTCGCACCATGCACGCGCCAGCCATGGACGTCTGCGTGTTCTGGACGAGCATGATGCGCTGGGGGCTGGACTTGCTGCACAAGAGCGACGGGTGGATCCGCTCCCTCAAGTACGACGAGATGGTGGCGAAGCCGCAGGCGGTGGCGGAGGCGCTGTTTGAGCTCTGCGGGCTACAAGTGCACGAGGAGATGATGGCGAGGCTGCAGCAGATCATGAGCGAAGACTCGCAGAAGAACTCCAAGGCAGCCCGAGAGCTGCTGGAGGACGTGAAGCTCGAATTCACCCAAGAGAGGGTGAGTGACTTTGCATGCAAAGAGAAAACGAATTGACGAAAACGCAGCTAGATAGATATGAGTTCGTATTCAAGGCCTTTGGGTAACGTCTAATTGTCGTCATCATCATATCACAATCACCATGACAATCATCATGACAATCGTCGTCGTCGTCATCATCATCATCATCATCATCATCTGCTGCTGCTGCTGCTGATTGTCATTCCTCTTGCAGGCTTCCGACACGGTTTCAGGATCCAATCTTTCTGCCTTGTCCTCTCCTACACTCTCAGTGAAGCGAGGGCTTCTCCCTCCACCTGGGGTCCAACTACTTGGAGGCCAGCCAACTTCCCACCACGTCCTGCACGTCATCGTCACGCGCTCCCTGCCCCCCTCACACTCTACCCGATCTCGCTGCAGCCATGCAGCCTGCAAGCAGTCAGAGGAGGAGGAGGAGATGACAAGACGCTCACATTCATCCGGATGGTCTCAAGCGCCTGCTTCAGCGACATCTCCGCTCCTGGAGTCTCCTGCCGGGATGTTCAGCCTCGCCTGCCCCCTTCTGACCCTCCGCATCCCCTCCTGTCAACCTTCTGGTTCTCCTCCTCCTCCTCCTCTCCCGCTCTCTCATGCCCTCACCTTGTCTGCAAAGAAAGCCTCCACCTCAGCTGCGCGCTCCTCAGATGCGAACGAGCTGAGACAACCGTAAGACGCAGCTTTGCAGCAGCAGGAAGACCTGACGGTTGTCTTGATGATGCGAGCAAGTGGCGGCTGCCCGGAAGGGAACATGCCTGCATGCCTTCAGTCTCGACGCCCTTCTCCTCTCCTTCACCTGAGATCTTGCTCCAGTTCGCTTGCAAGAAGCGCCAGGCAACGTCCATCCCCACCCTGATTACAGTTAGACCTATCTTGCAGCTAGGTGTTCCTCATCATCATCATCATCATCATCATTATTGATCATCATCATCATCATCATTATTGATCATCATCACCTGTTGGCAGAAAGGCTGCCGAAAACGTAGAAGACGTCTTGAGATCGGATGGAACCGTCGAGGGTCATGGCCAGCACCTGGTCCATCAGCTTCTCCTCCCTAGTAGCGCAGAGGGCGCGCATGGCTCGGTTCCTCTCGTCCGACATCTCCGCCTCGAGGAACACTCGCTTCACCACCTCGAACTCTTCTGCTCCTCCTGTCCCCACCACTGTCGCGTAGACTGCGTACCTAAGATCCGCTGCAACGCTCTTCCACCCGCCCTTCATCCTCCTCCTCGCTTCCGCCGCCACCTCCTCGTCGCCATTCCGCCCGAGGTTGAGGATCACGAGGGGGCGGAGCATGGGGAAGAGCGCGCCTTCCCCGTCCTTCGCCTCCCATCCAACTTTCTTCATGATCTTCTGCAGCAGCTTCACCATCATCTGCTGCAGCCCCTCGTACTCCGCCTCTTTTGCCCATGTGCTCATCACATCCGCCAGCGAACCAAGCAAGTCAGCCCACACCGTGAAGTCCTCCTCCTCCTCGTACTCCATCGCCAGCGCCAGCGCACGGTCGGTCCTCATCTTGCCTGCTCGAGCCAACGCGAAGGCATCTGCCTGGACGCCAAGCCTGTCCGAGGGAGACAAGCGAAGCTCGCTGATGGCAGGGCCGAGGAGGGCGAGAAGGGCGTCATCGTAGCGAATACGGAAGAAGGCGGTTTGGTGGAGGTTTCCCTTGACCCATCCTCCTCCCTCCGCATCCTCCACCTCCAGCGTCTTCCCCTTGATGTCGAGCAGCTCCTCCTTCCCCGACGAATGCAGCACCCGCATAGGCACCCACCAATCACTTCCCGGCGCCTCCTTGCCGGTGGCGAGGAAGCGCTCGACGGCGAAGGAGAGTTTCCCGGAGGAGCGAGAGAGGAAGACGACCGGGTATCCGACGTTCCTCGTCCACGGCCCCATGAACTTCTCCACGTCCTTGCCCGACGCCTCCGTCAGCGACTCCCAGAGGTCTCGCGTGCTCGCGTTGCCGTACTGGAACTTGTTGAGGTAGGAGGAGATGCCGGAGCGGAAGGAGGGCATGCCGAGGAAGGAGGTTAGCATCATGATGCAGGCGGCGCCCTTGCAGTAGCTGATCTCGTCGAAGATCTCGTTCACCTCCCCCGACCTCTTCACCTCCACCTCGATCGCGTGCGACGTCTCCAGCGCGTCCAGCTGCAGTGCTCTGCCGGCGTACTGGTTCACAAACTGGGTCCAGATGTCCCAGTGCTTGTAGAGATGATCGACGGCGAAGTTGCCAACCCAGGTGGCGAAGCCTTCGTTGAGCCAGAGGTCCGTCCACCAGCTCATCGTCACCAGGTTCCCGAACCACTGATGCGCCAGCTCGTGCGCCACCACGTACGCCACCCGCTGCTTCGTGACGAGAGGACTGAGAAGAGCCGAGCGTGAGAAGACGGAAGGAGGAGGGGGGGTAGCGAAGAGGAGGGAGGAAGACGAGGAGGGAGGAGGCGGGAGGCGGGAGGGTGGGCAAGGAGCCACACCTGTTAACCTCATCGATCAGCAGGTTCGCCTCTCTGTACGTGATGAGCCCCCAGTTCTCCATTGCGCCGGCAGCGAAGTCAGGCAGAGCGATCTGAGAGCTCGTGAGCTGGCGAGGAAACAGCTGAAAGCTTCACATGCTCACCATGTCGAGCTTTGGAAGCGGATAGGAAATACCGAAGTAATCGGAAAAGAAGTCGAGGACCTGACGAGAGCCAGGGTGAGGGAGAGGTGGAGGTGGAGGGTGAGAGAGAGGTAGAGGGTGAGGGAGAGGTGGAGGTGGAGGTGGAGGTGGAGGTGGAGGTGGAGGTGGAGGTGGAGGTGGAGGTGGAGGTGGAGGTGGAGGTAGCAGAAAGAAGTGGACGGGGAACATGAGGAGCTTGTGGGGACTGAAACCTTCATGCCAACATCGAGGGCAAAGAGACATTGATTCGTCACACCTGCCACGCAGTCAATGAGAAGAGAAAACGTGGAGGGGGGGGGGGGGGGCGACCAGGGCAAGCGTAGACTCGGTACTTGACTCCTTTCTTGGTCGTTCCCTCCACGTGCTCCAGTCGTCCGACAGCCTGAGGCGGAGATGAGGGGGGGAAGGCGACGAGAGAAGGTCACCATGGCGAGGAGATACGTCGACATGCGAGGAGTGCGTTCAAACCGAACGACTTTGCGATCAGCCTCTACAATCTCGTCCTGTGGGAGAGCGAGTGAGCAGTGAGGAGGGGAGGATGGAGGACAGGAGACAGTCGGCAGCCCTCTAGTCTCTCACCTTCACGGGCATGTTGCTCAAAGCCGTCAGGTGTGCAGGCACTCGCAGCGTCACGTCGAAGGAAGCTTTCAGCGCCGGCTCGTCGAAGCAAGGAAGAGTTCGTCTGCATGAGGAGCAGTGACTGCCCCGCCAGCAGGGGACCAGCTCACCGGCAGTCCGTCGGCTCGTGCTGCGTCACGGCCATGTACTCCTCCTTCCCGTCTATGAGCGCCTTAGACCTGCTGCTCCTTCAGCTCCCCCCCATCTCCTCCAGCTTCACCTGTAGAAGCCGCACATGTTGCTGTTGAGCTCCCCGTCGTAGCTCAGGTCCAGCACAACCTCACCACACGCAAGCTTCCGCTCCAGCTGGATGGAGATGGTGTCCTGAGCTGCGTCAGCTGGAGATGCAGGCGAGTCGAAGACCTCAGAGAATGAGGTGACGCCGTCGCACTTGTGAAGCTTTCGCGGTTGAGTCTGACCAAGGCTCAGAGAAGGGGAGGGGCAGGGAGGGCAGGGGGGGACATAGGGGGGTATGTAGCCGGTTGTATGCAGTCTGAGATAGACAGAAAGAGCAGGTGAGGCTTGCCTGCGCGAGCGAGATCAGCGGCTGACTGATGGGCCGAGTGACTGAAAGGTGGCGTGAGACGAGGTCAGACTGGGTTAGCGAGCAGAGGCCAAGAGGAAGGGAAAAGGAGCCGAGGAGAAGGAGGGGAGAGGAAGTCCGAGCAATGAAGTTTCGACCTGAGCCATCGGAGGAAGTGACTTGAACCGATTTGATGGTGATGTCAAGAGCATGTAGCACGATCACGTCTGTCTCCTCCTTCACCTCAGCCGTGATTTGCTGTCTCGCTGTCAGTCTCGCTGGTTGCCATCACGAGGCAGCACCACTCTCCCAGCAAACACAAACTCGCTGAGGTTCACGTCGATATCGAGGTCGTAGTGTCGAGGAACGAGGCATGCAGGAAGAAGCTCTGGTTGCGCTGACATCTGAAACAACACATGTAACCTGCCTCCAAGCCCATGAAGACGCTTCTCTCCCGCTCTCCTTGTCCTTCTCTCCCGCTCTCCTTGTCCTTCTCTCCCGCTCTCCTTGTCCTTCTCTCCCGCTCTCCTTGTCCTTCTCGCTCTCCTTGTCCTTCTCTCCCGCTCTCCTTGTCCTCCGTCTACCTCTCCCCCCCCTCATTCTAACGCTCACCCTCGCTGTCTCATGCTCTATCCAGCAATTTAAGCTCGAGAGACTTGAGAGAATACAGAAACCTTATGCTGCTAGCCAGGAAAACAATGATACCCATTACGAAGCAGTCATCTCAGACAACGAACAGCGTCAGCGCAACCCTAGACTAAGGGAACCAGCACCAGCACCAGCTGGAGCAGGGAGCAGGGAGCAGGGAAAAGAGAGAAGAGAGAAGAGAGAAGGGAGCAGGGAGCAGGGAGCAGGGAGCAGGGAGAAGGGAGAAGGGAGCAGGGAGAAGCGAGCAGGGAGAAGGGAGAAGGGAGAAGGGAGAAGGGAGAAGGGAGAAGGGAGAAGGGAGAAGGGAGAAGGGAGAAGGGAGAAGGGAGAAGGGAGAAGGGAGAAGGGAGAAGGGAGAAGGGAGAAGGGAGAAGGGAGAAGGGAGAAGCGAGCAGGGAGCAGGGAGAAGCGAGCAGGAGCAGGAGGCAGGAGGCAAGGTCCCATCCTAGATCCTAGTGCCCTTTGCCTTGTAAGCGTTCGCTTTGTTTCTGTTTTCCTCTGAAGGGGTGAGAGGGGATGAGGGGTCCTACTTTGTCGCAAGGATGCAGGGGGCGAAGATTCTCAACGACGGGAGGAGCATGCCGCGCCTGGGGCTGGGAGTCTTCCGCTCTGAACCTGGACCCACCACCTTCCATGCTGTGCTCACAGCCCTACAGTTGGGCTACCGCCACATCGACACAGCCGCCTACTACCGCAACGAGGAGAGCGTGGGGGAGGCGATCCGCGCGTCTGGGCTGCCGCGCGAACAAGTGTTTGTAACTACTAAGCTTGCGAGCATGGGAGCGTCGGGATATGACTATGAGGGAACGATGAAGGCGCTCAAGGACTCGCTGAGGAGGCTCGGGATGGACTATGTCGACATGTACCTCATCCACTCTCCCAACGACAAGAAGAACCGTCTAGAGCAGTGGCGAGCTCTCGAAGACGCCAAGGCCGCAGGACTAGCTCGAAGCATAGGAGTGAGCAACTATGGGATACACCACTTGGAGGAGTTAGAGAAGCACTTCAAGACTCTGCCGGCTACCAACCAGGTAGAGTTGCACCCGTGGCTGGCTCGGAAGGAGCTGGTGGCGTATTGCACGGAGAAAGGGATCGTGCTGACAGCATACTCGCCCTTAGCAAAGGCCTCCAAGATGGCAGACGCAGAGGTTCTCACCCTGGCAAGCAAGCACAAGTGTACGCCAGCGCAAGTGCTCATCAAGTGGTCGCTGCAACAGGGCTTTGTGACCATACCGAAATCGACGAACCCCGCGAGGATAAAGGAGAACATGCAGGTGGACTCGTTTGAACTGTCCGAGGAGGATCTGGTGAAGATGAAGTCTTGGGACTGCTACATGACCACCGGCTGGGATCCAACTCGCTCCATGTGACATGTCGGGCCGGGCTGAACCGTTTGAACGGCTTCATAGCAGTAAAAGATGATCAGAGTCAAGCATACAGTCACACATACGCACATACACACACACCTTCAACACAAACTTGAGTACTGTCATGTCGTTGGCGTGACAGTACTAGCCGCTGAGCAGCGGCTCGCCGGACTCTAGTTACACTGGCACAGTGCTGCTGCCTCGGAGTCAGGCTGCCAATGCCGGGCCGGGCAACGCCGGCCGGGCCCGCGCCCGTCCACTCCCAGCCTTGAGCCCTACCTGAGCCCTACTAGTTGGTGCAGGCGGAAGGGATGGCGACGGAGAAAGGAGACGACATGGCGGGAGTGACAGCAGAAGACGAGGGAGAGAGAGACGGAGATGGGGGGGATAGCAGAGTCAACGAAGGGAATGAACAGCGACAGGAACACGAACATGGACTAGGGGAGAGGGAAGAGGGGAGAGGGAAGAAAGCAGCCGAAGCCAGAGATGGAACAGGCGAGGGAGAGGACGGAGGATCCGAATCCTCTCTACCAAACTCTGAGGACCCGTGGCAAGTGGTGTGTTTGCGCTTTTCTGGAGTTGTCGCAGTTGAAACAAGGGCAGGGATTCGCAGTGGAGGTTGAGTTCGACGGGGAATGGTGGGATGCCAACATCAAGGCGCGCGAGGGAGACTCGGTGAGATGGGTTTGAAGGTGTGGTGATGTTGGCCAACCATTCCTCGCAGGTTCTTGTTCATTATGTGGGAGGAACAGAAGAGGAAGATGAATGGATTGAAGTTCCTCTCTCCTCTTCACGTCTGTCCAACCTAAGATGCATGTAGATCGGAGGCGCAAGGCTGAGGAGGCCTCCTCCCCTGGAAGTGGTCTGGGCTCGGGTTAAATGCACGCTCTCCTTCCCATCCCTTGACAGTCTGCAGGTGAAAGATAGCGCTGCATGGCCAGGCATCCTGATCCAAGGATCGCTCAAGAACCCTTACAGCAAGAAGGCAAGCGAAGCCATGGAGGCTCCTGCGAAGCTGATGTGACCGGCAGTTCAAGCTCTTCTGCTTCCAGGACGCTGCCATGTGCGAGCTCGCTTTGCGCTGCTTCAAACCTCATGGTGTCTCGAGCAGACATACAGTGAGCCGAGATCGCCTCTCCGCCTTCACAAGCGCGAGCATTCCCAAGCGCATCAGGTAGACGCGTCCTCCTGCTGCTGGCATGACTGGCTCCTCCAGCGACAGGCAGCTGGCAGAGGCCATCGAGTATGCCAAGGCTGCGATGGCGACGGGGACGATCCCCGAAGCGGTTGATGCAGCCGTTGGATGACAAGGGTGACGTCATGGCACAGATGCGGATGGCGAAGGAAAGCACGAGCATGAGCAAGGGAGGGAAGAGAAGGGCGCCCAGCCTTGGTGAGGTTTCTTTCTTGCCTCAACCACTTGACGAATACGCGCAGATACTCCTCTTCGTGTCCCCCCAAAGAAGAACCCCCTCCACTCCAAGGTGACGCCCAGCCCTCTCACTCCCTTTCCCTCCATGTCACACGTCAGCCAGGAACGCAAACGAGCTGCAATGCGGAAGTTGGGTCTTCTACCTCCCGAGGTTCCGCGTGCTGCATGAGATGTGGTACTGACGGGTGTGTGAGGGAACGGAAGCGGCGTGAGCAGTACCAGCAGCATCTCTTTGCGCAAGAGTAATAGAAGATCAGCGGGCAACGAGCCAGTCGTGTTTGATCAGGTCGTAGCAGTAGGCTCTCTTGGATACGTCCCTGCTCCCACGTCAGCCGTCCTCAGCCCCTCTCACGCGTCACCTCTGAATGCAGCAGAGGATGAAATCCTTGCACGAGGGCGAGAGGTGTGAAGGGACATCAGGGAGGGAAGAGCCCGACGCGATCTCCGTCATCGCCCTGCATGACATTCACAACACTCCAGCTAAACTCTCAGCAGCGCTCACGCAAACTTGTTGTTGAACTTCTCCCAAGGATGCTTTGCCGTCGCCATCTCCAACACCTGATACCTCTCAGAGGATGCAGAAGATCCACAAGTCACAGACAGTCATGCCCAGGGACCAAACATCCGCCTTCCTCCCGTACGCCTCCTGCTTGATGACTTCCGGTGCCATCCTGCTCGCGAGGTTTAGAACGGTCCTTGGGCGTGGACGAAGGCATGCCAGTAAGGAGTTCCTTGGATCTGCTTCCCATCCTCGGTCATCGTTTTGTTCCCCGTGAGCACCATAGTCGCCCCGAAGTCTGCGATCTTCAAAACTCCGTTGTGAGCCACCAGGACGTTGGCACCCTGAGAGACAAACAAAGAAATGAGAACAGAAAACAGAGGGGAGACAAGCAGAGGAGAGGGAAAGCTGCCTTGATGTCCCGGTGCACGACTTGATTTTGATGGAGGAAATCGAGGCCTTCAATGATCTGACGAGTGTAAGCTCGCAAGACTTCTTCTTCGAGAGCTCCAAAGGCCTTGAGAAGGTGAGCGACGCTCCCGCCCGGACAAAACTCCATGAGGATGTTGAGGTTGGTGTCAGTGATGTCGATGGCGATGTATGAGACTGAGAGCGGCTCAGCTCCTCTTTCAGCTCCTCTCTCAGCCCCTCCATCTCACCGACGTGATCATGCCGAAGCTTCTGTAGCAAGAGGATTTCCTGTTCGATGGCAGCCAACTGCACGCAACGACACGCTCAGAGCGTTTGAGCAAAGTGGAAGACAACTTGTTTGAGGGAAAAGGAGAGCACATCGATCAGGGAGCAGGGAGCGGGGTGTGTGAGGAGAGCCAGGCGCAGGAGGAGGGAAATCAGATACGATACGACCGCACCTCGTCGCGAGTGATGTTGTCAAAGTGGATCTGTTTGACTGCGAGCAAATCGCCCGTTGACACGTTGAGACCCACGTAAACTTTCCCCGTCGCTCCTTCTCCAACGCATCCCCCAAGCCGATACCTTAGCTTCGCTCCCCCTTCAGCCACTATCGCCCCTCCGCTCGTTCCAGCCTGAGAACCGTGTCATTCCCTTTCCTTCCTGCTCGTCCTCACCGACACTTGTCTGGAAGAGTCTTGATTTTCGCCCATGCCAGATCGTGACGACCTGCCGGTTCTGACAGGCGCCCGACCTGAAAGCCAGTCAGACTGAACTCTGGTACTCTCCCTCCCTCCCTCCCTCCCTCTCTTCCTCCCGCTCTTCCTCTCCCTCTCTCCCTCTCTTCCTCCCGCTCTTCCTCTGTAGAATTTAGTCGATGATAGTTTTATGA